CCCCAAAACCCCAAAACCCCAAAACCCCAAAACCCCTTTTTAAAAAAGAAAAATAGAAGCTAGTTTCATAAACAAAATAACAATTTGGCTAAAAATCTAATGGAATCTGACAAGAAAGATGAGAATGTAGCATGCTTAGCATGTGGAGATGGTCTCCCAAGACAGCACAATGGAGTCAAATGTAGCCAAGGCCATGATATGTGTACCGGGTGAGCAAAGACATACGTGGCAAACATTCTCTCAGAGCCTGAAAACAAGATACCAGCCAAGTGTTCTTTGTGTGCTGTTGAATTGAACTCTATCCAACTTGAGATGCAAATGGAGCCAGAACAACTAGAAATGTACTTGATGTACAAAGCCATGAAGATTGTTGATCCTAAAATTGACAAAGTCATGAGTTGTCCATTCTGTAAATACTTCGAAGTCTGGACCATTGACAACTCTGCAAACTTCTTCTATTGTAGAAAAGAAGATTGTCAAAAAGGAAGTTGCTCAGTTTGTTTCAAAGAATTCAAAGTAACAGTTCAGCTCTAATGTATAGGTGCCTAAAGGAATGGCGGTTACTGAAGATGAGCTAGAGGAAATGAAGTCAGAAGGAGGCATGATGAGCCACTATAAATGCTATGAACACAAGGACATTAAAAAGGCCTGGGAAGATGCCCTCGAAAAAGGTACTAAAAGATGTTGCCCTGAATGTAAAGTTGGAGGAGTTAAAGATGATGCTTGCACTCACATGACATGTGACAACTGTAACACTGTCTGGTGCTATCTCTGCGGGAAGAAAGAAGCGAACTGCGATAAGTCTGACCCTAATGGGAACATCTACAGACACAACGATGACTGGAACACTAATAGTAAGAGATGTCCAATGTATCTTACACAAATTGGACAAATTGATGAAAGATGGAGTACTGCAAATGATGAAGAAGCAAAGGCTTTCTTCCATAAGCTCTTGACTTACAAATCTCTTAGAAGGTTTTTAAAGAAATATAGATCCAAAGCATTCAAGAATCTATGCAAGGTATTCCCCTCTGTGGCCAACCACGGCTTCGACCTTGACGAAGTAAAGAACATGGACTTGGCCATCATCAAAAGATAGCCACGAGATTTTTATAAATAGTTGTTCAACCTTTTCTTGGAAAGGAGGGGTTTTGGGGTTTTGGGGTTTTGGGGTTTTGGGG